CACTAAATAAGTATAAATAAGGATTTATATTTGTGTACAAGCTGTGCTTTTAGGGTTATTAACGGAGTTCGTGTACTCAGACCAGTAATATTTGGGGTCACAAGTTTTTGCCATGAATATTTTGTGGGTCAGAAGATAAAAAGTTTGGGAACCACTGAAATAAAGAAACATCAGATTTTTCTCTATACTGTCCATGTTGTTGGCTGTTGTAGCAATGCTTTGTTTACGTGCAGACATACCCCTTTGACATCACTTCCTGTTGCTTCACATGCAAATATCACAACAATTGCTCATCTCAGCAGCGTGAAATATTTGTTGCAACATGTTATTGATATTATCTTTTCAAAAACGCATTCATATTTATTACAAAAAATTGATGTCTCAGGCACTTTAAGTTACATRTGTTCCTATTCAGACATCTAAATTATGATCATCCACCCTGTTTCCTTTTTACCCTTTAAGATTTCATTTTTAATACAATGGTAGTCGTCTTCAGGGTTCTGCATGGATCCAGTTGTGTGGGACTGGCTGCTGAACATGGGGCTCCTGCTCACTTGGGCGTGTGAGTTAYTGTCACCGCTTTGATGGATTAAACTGTCAAAAAGTGGAGCGCTGCTGTCTGTGCGGTGAAAGTAAATGAGCACCAGATGTACGGCCTTCATGGCTTGTTTCTCCTCACAAAACACATCAACCTTGTGAGACATATACTGTAAAAACCCATATGTTAAACTAATGCCTATAGATTGATAGTTCAGTTAAAATTTTTTTAAAAAGCTTCAAATGTATATTTTTCCTTCAAGGGAATGAGACTCCTCGTGTCCTGCATGCTCCACATGCACCAACTGTGCCTTGCCACTAGATGGCAGTGTGCAACCACTGCTCTCATCCTGACCCGGTGCCATGCTGTAAACTTGACCCAACCGGTCTGGGCCTGGACCAGAACCAGACCTGTTTTTGTCCCGGCAGAAAACAAGTGGCACATTTAAGGGAGCAGATYAGGCCAGGTGACGTCTGCTCCCCAAACCCGTCCGTCTCTCACCCAAACTGAGCAGCTGGGACATGAAGGTGYTGGAGGCACTAATGAGCAGTGGCCTTTTAAAACCACCTGATGTCTATTAGTGCAGAGAAGGCCAGAATTTAATGAGTCAACTAAAAAGTCTGGGAGAAGTGTCTATCAAGTCTCATATTAAGCTTTGTTAGTCTTTAAAGATGCAAATATTCAAAACTCACAATTTTTGTTTTCATGGAAATGTATTTTTAGGGGTCTAACACCACATTTCTTGCAGTCAAATTAGTTCTGATAAGGGCAGGGCACTAAAAACGAGAAGAATTAAGTCTTTTTTTTTTTTGTAAGAACATCTAGTCTCCTAAAAACAATACATTCACTAAAAAAAGAGATGTTAAACCTACTTCAACCATGCTGTGCCCCTTTATCGCTGAAGTTTCTGATGTCCCCTGCACACGGCCCAGACTCCACTGGGATCCGATCCATTGTGCTCCCAGTTTGGCTGGAAAGTAAAAAAAAAAACCCATCTCAGCCGTGACTCCGTCCACTGACGTGAAATTCCTCCAGACCCCTTGGGAGGATGCCGGGGTGGAAGGACGGCCTTGAGGTGAGAGACCAGACCATGGGGTGTGTGTGTGTGGGGGGGGCCTTGGGGGGGGGGGACGTTTAAATGAATTGTGATCTATTCTGTATATTCCAGGAAGTGAAAACATTAAAGAAAAAGCAGCAACAATAGCTGGAGCAAACAGCACCTGTTGCCATTTAGACACAGACGCTTCCTGACTGAACCCAGATCAGTTACAGAGCTGCTCTGCTTTCATCACAGCCAGTTAACGTCAGTCTTAATGTCACGGAGCCATCTGTCTGGGAAAGTGCTTCTGACATTTCCTGCTTTTCTTTACCTGCAGTCAACACAGAGCAGCGAATAATGTCAGCCCATCGCAGACATGTACCGATGAGTGGTTTCAAGTGAAGTCCTACAATTTCCTAAAGAAATCTCAATTTTCACATCAGACAAGTTTGTTTTTCTTTCTCTTTTCTTTCATACTGAAGCTGTAGGAGTGTGTGTAAAAACGTCCTCATCCTCAAGAAAGCATCAGGGTTTGGCTCAGGAGAACCAGCAGCCTGGTGACAAGTTGTTGTTTTTGTTCTTATCCTACATGTCCTTAGCCAGAACACGACGGCAGACTGCACTCTCAGAGAGAAAACATCCTGGAAATTGAGATTATTTCCGAAACTGAATGCTGCAAAAATCAGTAGCAATTGGATTTTTTTTTTTGCTTTTTATGCAGTGAAATAAAGCAAATATAAAAAGATTGACTAATTAATTAGATTAAAGTAAAAAAGGTTAACATGTTAAACTCCTTGAGGAGAATAAACAACATAAGAATAATTTCTCTGCACTTTGATTTTCTGTTTTATATTTATCACAGTGTAAAATTAGTTTATAGCTACATTTTCTAGGTTCTACTGAACACCATTTTCTCAGCTGCCGATTCACAAAAATAGTATTTTTCTTCTGCCTTTGCATTGTATCTATATATAGATGTCTATATTCTATCTCTCTTTTTCCTCTTTGAGAGAGATTGCGACTACAAAAAACTGRAAACAATGTATGAACAAAACTCAGTGTACCATGGTGCAACTCTAAAAATAAATACAAAATATAAGCAGTAAACAACACTTTGCCAACACCATAATACCTTCCTCAATTCGGACAAAGTTGGGCGCATAAAATTTAATCAAAAACAGAATGCAATGCTTTGCAAATCTCATAAAATAACAATTYATTCACAATGGAATATGTTTAAAGTACGAAATTGTATCATTTTTGTACCTTCTTTACTTCTTAGAGATCCAGCTTCTCTAAAATGATATTTTTTTACCCAGCCTTCTTATTGTCAGTTAACCTATGTAATGCTATTCCGGCTGTTTTTATTTGTACCACTTACTGTTGCAGCCTTGTGTTGCTGCCATAAAATTCAAAATGACCATTTTTTTAAACATTTGATGTGTTTTCTGGCTTTATTTACATTTTTACCCGATTTACCAACTGTTTTTGCACTTGGGGGTGGGGTTCACTTTATTCATAAAGCTCCAATTCACAACCAAATGAACTCGGAGAATAATACAAACAGGATTACAAGTCCAAATCCCAAATTGTGTTTGAAACAGAGTCAATTCAATCTAATTATATCCCAATAAAATCAGTCAGTTCATTAGGAAATTTATTTTGGCAAAAATGAAATACTCTTATAGGAGTTACATAAATATAAAACAGTGTTACAGCCCACAGTTGGCAGCAGGTCCTA